TATATATGCGTCTTGCTTGTGGTTTCATATTTGGTTGTTTCCATCTTCATCTGCTGCCCTTCTAAGTTCGCTCAGTTGGCCAAGCTAACAATATCATGATGTCGTCACATTTATTCGCTACCATATATGTAAAAGTTATATATTCATGATCTATCGTCAATTTTCCCCCTATTCTCTCGCTCTCTCTCTCTCTCTATCTCTCTCTCTGTATTTCTCTCTATCTGGATCTCGCTCTATCCCTCTTTCAAGCTCCCCCTCTTGTCTATTTGTTGCTACTTGCTACTGTTTTTGCAAATTTTCTCATTGTTTTATTGTAGGTTTTTTCTAATATTACTTTTCCTTTGCTTTGCTACATTTGAACTTCCCATTGCCACACTCCGCTGCACTGCTAGAAATGCAGTCCGTCCATCCGTCAATTGCGTTGTTGCTTAGCTTACTTCTTGACCATCTTCATGAGCATGTCGGTGGATAGGGATTTGGGACGCTCGATGGGCAGGCCAAGAGCACGATCCCAAACAAGGGAGGCGAGCACGCCCAACGCACGCGAAACGCCGAAGAGCACAGTGTAGTAGTTCATCTCCTTCATGCCGTAGTATTGCAGCAGGACACCCGAATGAGCATCAACATTGGGCCAGGGGTTCTTGACCTTTCCGGTCTCAGTTAGAATTGGGGGCACCACCTTGTAGATCTTGGACACCAGCTGGAACAGCTCGTCTTCGGGCAGATGCTTCAATGCAAACTCCCGTTGGCAAGTGTAACGTGGATCAGTCTTGCGCAGCACAGCATGACCATATCCAGGCACCACCTAATTGAAAGAGATATCAGTTAGTTAACCCACATCAGGTAATGGATAAACCTATCCAGTGTGCCCACCTGTCCAGACTTGAGGGTCTTCCAGATGTAGTCCTTGAGCTGCTCCTCCGACGGATTGTTACCCGCCTCCTTCTGCAGCTTACGCAGCCAGATGAGTACCTCCTGGTTGGCAAGTCCATGCAATGGACCCGCCAGACCATTCATACCGGCAGCAAATGACAAGTAGGGATCGCTCAGAGCTGAACCAACCAGATGCACCGTGTGGGCAGACACATTGCCACCCTCGTGGTCGCTGTGGATGGTCAGATAGAGACGCATCAGCTCGGTGAATTCGGGGCTGTCATAGCCGAGCATTTTCACAAAGTTGGCCGACCAATCCAGACTGGAGTCAATGGCACGGGAGCCCTTGCCGCCGCGATAGGTGTTGCAGTAGATAGTCGCAGCCACCACTGGGAGTTTGGCAATCAGATCCATGCTGTCCTCGTAGGCATATTCCCAGTACTTGCTCTTGTGCACACCTTCGGAGTAGGCCTTGGCGAACTTGCTGTCGTGGTTGAGGGCCACAACGGCGGCAGACAACTGGGACATGGGATGCAGGGTCGTTGGCATATTGTTCAGCATGTTGACAACATGCTGGGGCAGTGCAGCGCGATCAGCCCATTCGCAGGACAGTTGCTGGACCTGGGCCTTGGTTGGCACCTCGCCGGTCATCAGCAGCCAGAACAGGCCCTCGGGCAGTGGCTCGCAGCCGCCATCGGCGGCAGGCAGTACCTTCTGGCATTCGGGAATGGACAGACCACGGAAGCGAATACCCTCATCGGCGTCCAGCACAGAGGTCTCGGTAACCAGAGCCTTGATGCCGCGCATGCCACCGTACATCATATCGATGGTTGTCTCGCCAGTTTTGGTGGATCCATGCTGCTTCCTGAAGGCTTTCACACGCTCCTGTTCCTGCGGAATCTTACAGGCCATAACCTCGCGCAGGCTGGCGCCATCAGAAGCGATTTGACGCACATAGCCACTAATAACGGGCACTTTCTGCAATATAGAGAAATAAAACAATAAATAAACATCTGTGTAAACAAATAATAAACAAATACCAAACAGTCAAAGTAAATATCAGTGCAGTCAGTATTTTATATCCAGTTAGCTTTTTTTTATAGATATTTTTCTCGTCAAAGTGCCAGCACTGTTGTTGCGATCACATTAAAGGGAAAGGACAATATGCTGCACCTCAAGGCCACTTAATTGGGTTTATCGATAACGATTGCCACATCTGTCATTGAGCTGCACTTCAGCAGGCAATTTGAGCGTAAAATTACGCGGAACATCAATGCGATTGATAAGGTGCGCCAATTCCCAAACAAAGACAGACACAAAAACACACACCTATGCATGCACACACACACACACACTCACTTTGATGCACACATGAGACAATCCACGTCTGTTGATAAGCAAAGCAAAGCAACGATTGCAGCAATAGCATCAGCCGCAATCCGTCCATTCTCAGTCTCATGACTCAGCATCGATCAGACATTGCCTTAATGGCTGCATTTGCTTATTATTGTTGTTGTTGGTATTGATATTGTTATTGTTATTGTTGTAGCGTAATTGACTACGAAGAATACGCAAAAACACAAAAACCGAAATACATACATATACATGTACACATGTACATACACATGTAATTCGACAAAAGCGCGCCACTCGCAAAGTTCAGCTCAGGTTTAACTGTTAGTTAAGCCTCGATTCCGGTTACAACTAGTTTCTGATAATAGTTTTTTTTTGTTGTATTTCTGATCAGCCCATCGCGAGACACACTTTAAATGACAGCGAAATTCCTAGTCGACGGCATTTGTTGCTGTTGCCACGCGTGGCGTTTGCTCAGACAAAACGAAATGGAAATGAAAACGGAATCCAAGCTCAAGCGCAAAGTGCAATTTTATTTGATTGACAGCACAGTTCGCTGTCTCTCGCTCGCGGTTTCCCTTTGCACCTCCTCCTTCTTGCGCTTTATCGGCTCGTCAGCTTTTATTATACCCTGAACCCATTGAAAATGGGAAATCAGGGTATAATGGTTTTGTGAAAAAGTATGTAACGGGCAGAAGGAGGCGTGGCAGACCCCACAAAGTATATATATTCTTGATCAGCGCGACAAGCTGAGTCGATATAGCCCTGTCCGTCTGTCCGTCCGTCCGTCCGTCCGTCCGTCCGTCCGTCCGTCCGTCCGTCCGTCCGTCCGTCCGTCCGTCCGTCCGTCCGTCCGTCCGTCCGTCCGTNATTATATCTTCTACACCCTTATTGCTAGAGTCTCCAAATTTTTAATGTATGCTTATATGCAATTTATACAATTTCGGTTTTTGTTAAAATTTACCCCCCACCCTTAAATTCACCCCCTCACCCTCACTTTTGTAAAAAGCGTATTTCAAATACTAGAGACTTGGGCTTTGGAATATACACACATATTCACCATATGATTACGCTCTAAAAGTTTCATTAAGATCGTATGTCTACAAAAGAAATTATTTAACAAATAAATTCTCATAATATTGCCCACACTGCAGCGCAGCCCAAGCGCAGTCGCTGCTTACTGCGCAGTTAGCAGAGCGCAGACTTATGCGTGCGTGTGGATGCATGTGTATGTATGTGTGCATAAAAGAAGTGCRGAATGATTAGAATATCAGCTTAGAGGGTTCAGGGTATCTCCTAGTCGAGCAGTCTCGACTGGAGCCTTCTTACTTGTTTTTTGTTGTTTTTTTTTTTACGGTTCTTTTCTTTTTTTTGCGGCTAGTGGGTCAGCAAATTTAATCAACCAAGTGAACTTGTGGCGCCGCCAAGCGGAGGACTTTTGCAAATTGGATTGCATGCCTGCTACATACACGATCGCTAAGTGTATGCATGTGTGTGTGTGTGAGTGCTCGTCTTCTCTTATGCATTATATTGATTTGTTTGTGCGCAAACGCACACACACACACACACACACAAACCGGTTTGCTGGACCGGCCCCAAAAACGCGATTTCATTGATAAAATTGAATTATAATTTACGTGAACGCCTTGCATTGATTATCAAATACTATGAGATGGCCTGTCAATCAGCTGACTGCTACGTCACCCATTACTATAATGGCAAGAGGCAAGTCATACACATTCAATTTCAATTTCAGCCTTTGCGTGCAACAAAGTGATTGCATTTAATTTGTATAAATTAATGTATGTATATATGTATATAAAATATACCATATATGATTATACAATAATCATTGCAAATTGACGTTCCAACGATTATCCTTAATATCTGCAATTGTAATTGGGTATCAATCGATTAAGCTGTGTTAAATAATCGAGTGACCACATTGTATGGAAATTCAATACTCATTATGGTTAATAAAGGGTGAGAAAGGGCGTTAGACGAGCAGAAATGCAATTTGAGACACTTGAAGCTGCAAATAACCAAACGCCGTTTTGCCAGGTGCACAAACCGCAACATTGTTGACGTGAATGCTGCTGCCATTCAAACAGGTGCTAATTGAGCTGTCGTAGTTTGGTTCCTATTTGATTTTGGCTCATGCTAATTATGCGCTAAGAGTTCGAATAACAAACACGCGCAAATGCCAAGAGCAAAGTGTGAGCAATAGAAAGCGTCAGAGAGAGAGAGAGAGAGAGAAAGAGAGCGAGAGAGAGCGCACGCGAAAGAGGCTTGCATAACAGTGAGATTACTAAGCGCCACACATGATGCGTCACACACATACATACATATGCGCTGCTTTTTGCGGAATAGTGTTGCATAACGTGTGGGGGCCGGAGCACGCACAATCGCACGACCGCTCGCCCGCCCGCTCGCGCGGTTTGATTCGCTTTCTTGTTTGTTGGCTTTGTTATCTTATCGCTGGGCCACTACCTTCTTATAAATATGTATAAATGATTATTTCTTGCCGTTCTTTTCTATCATTGTATTTGCTTTGTCTTTTGCTCTATTTGCTGTTTTTCTTTGCGCAAATTTCAGTTGTATGCATACCCATGTGAAAAAGTCATGAACATAATCAGATTAGTTTCACGGGCGGTGGCCGGCCTTCTGGGTCCAGGGGGCGTTACGGGGCAGGCAGGGGGTGCGCGAGTGCTGCTGATAAGCGCTTCAAATTTTGAAGGTCCCCGCAACGGTCTCGCACGCGTTTAACTTTATCGCTCACATTCTCTATAGATTCCACACATCGACTATATATTTTATATGCTGTTTGTACATATATGGTCAAATGGTCAGCAAGGAAATCTTGGTCGCGTGTTAGCTTTCTTGTCGGCTCCAGCTTAGAGATTAGGGGTCTGCTGATCCCCGCAATCGGCGACAATGTATTGCATAAGCGAGCGTTCGTTTCCTCGGATAGCACTTTGTTAATATTATTGCTGTTCTTATTAATTAATCTACGCTGCAATTACGACGACAGCTTAATTAAATACAGACAGATCCATAAACAATACGAATGCTTTTTTTAATAATAATTTTTTACAATCATCATCAGAGTCAAACGTTTGACGCGCGCAACCTTCACAATTTACAATTCCATGTGAGCCGCTCTCTCGAATTGCCATAATACCAAATACTAACGGCATCTCGACTCATTTTGGCATCAAGGCAAGCCAGATAAGCGAGTTGGCCCAAATGCAACTTGCAGTTCGAGTCAAGTGACCGTGACTTGGCGTTAAATGGTTTAACCATGCTAACAGCACGCCTAACAAATTGCCTCTTCTCTTCAAACTATTCAGGCAAGAGGAGATTCGCTCTATGCTTTCTCTCTCTCTCTCTCTCTCTCTCTCTCTCTCTCTCTCTCTGCCGCTTGCTCCCTCTATCTATCTGGTTTCCGTGGATTTTCGCTATCGTTTCTCATTCGCGTGACGATTTCAATTGCCCGGATTCCGTAATTGACTAATACTAACTAACCGATAAAAGTTACGTTTTCAAGTTCATCTTTTCTTTCTTTTATTCGACTATTTGCAATATTATCTTACGGTTCGGAGCCTAATCGCTACAATTAAGGTCTTGTGTCTACTGCTATTTGCATTTCCTCTTTATTATCGCGAACAAAACAACAAAAATACAAATGAAAAAAAAAAAAAAGAAAAAAAAACATATTCGTTCCGAAAGTAAACAGTTAGCAACGTTATGGAGCAGAGTGCATGACGTAACCAGACGTTCGGTTCAGATCGGTTCGCTGGGATTTCTGTCTGTGTTGATTACATGCGCGTTAATCAGAAACTCTGATGAGCGGGAGAACATACTGAGTCAGCCTTTAGTCGCAGAGCACAATTACCAGATGGTGGAAGGGGAACTACGTTCCGTAAACTTTTCTGTCAATGTTAACAATTGATGTCAACATTAGCAACAAGTTGTAAAAACATATATACAAATATATATATGTATATATATACATGTATATATCTATATATGTATGTTTTTGATGTTTCACTTTACACGCTCTCTTGATTATCAACCTTAAGTCATCATCAATCAAAAGAGCAAAGCTCTAATTAGAGCTACACTGATTGATGGAGTCAAGTATCTTCCTCTAGCTCTGGTTAGATATTTGCAATTCTTCCAATTAAGTCCCTCATTAGTAAACCGAAAGCTATGTAAATATGTGAACCCACTGTTATGGGGGTATCGCATTCCACTCTATAAATATTATGCCGTATAAATTCATTTATCGTTGAACCTAATCAAATTAACACTTTTTCGTCCACCGTTCACCTGCTCACCGTTCAACGTTTTCCGTTTTTTTTTTTTTTGCTTTTGTTTTCCTTTGCCATTCTATTAGGCGTCTGTATGTATGCATACTCATATATTATTTCTACAATCAGCTCACGAACATCGATCGTATTATTTCTGTTGGTTGCGTGTGTTCCGATTTCGATCTCGATCATGTGCCCCCACACAAATTTGTCATGCTTATCAGTTAAGCTCCATGGGATGGGGCAGCATTAGTGGCATTCGCGGAATGATTGTAAATGTAAATATAACGTAATGCAATACCAAAATGAGAGTGCAATTTCAGTGTCTCGCACCGATCCGCCCAGCCCCGCCCCCCTACTACGACAGATTACATCACATGACCAAAAATCTTGACGTGTTTCTCCCTATCACAGTTATCACTGCCAACAATTTGATTACCGTATAAACTTTCCATGACGCCATATATTGTTATCTGCTGAAGCCTGAGCATAAAACTTAAAATATCTCGGGAATTTTTTGCAATTTGAAACCGCAAAATGAATAGAAGAAAAAAGAAATAGAAAAAGTGCAGGTGGGCCGCATGCCTCTCCAAAAATTGAAGCCACTTGAGATTGGATTGGCACGGGCATTGARAGATTAGACGACGACGACCATAAATCAAACAATTTATTTCTGTGCACAGTGAAATGTGCAAATCCACAGAGCTGAGTGCATAATTCGAATTATATTTTGTGCTTCATCCGCTTGGGACCTCAGCAGTTTGTTTGGGAAATGTGAATTCCCTTTTGTTTTTTTGCATACTATGTATGTGAACTTGATTTCGAATTCGAATTTGAGTTCGAATGCCAATTCAAATTGGGTACAAATGAATGACATTCTTATTATGCAATCGTGGGATCAGCTGTTCAGAGCAGAAAGCTCAACCTTTGCCTGCCACCCTCACAAACACATGCATACACACATATGTATATACACTCACATTGACACACGCACATAAGGCACTTGCCAAAAGGGCAGAAACGCTACGCTAAACGACAAACTTTTTACGTAAGCGCTGGCCGCGTATCGTGACGTATTAGCGTCTGGGCGATAAAAAATTTCGCGTGTTTGTTATTAAGTTGGCCGGACGTCAAATGTTGCCGCTTTTGCTGCTGCTGCTGCGGCAGCTAAAAGGCCTTGCGTGTCATGTTGAAGTCGTCGTTGTGTTGTTTTTGAACAACAGAAAAATATGTTTATTTAGTTTGAATTTTGCAAATCGAAAGTATTTCACTTCAACTTTTTAACCGGAAGAGGACGATGCAAATAGCTCTCGCCCTAAGCATCGTTTACCTATTTACATACTTATGTATTTATAGTAGATACAACAACAAATTCAGCAACAGCAACAGCAGTGTGAAGGACGTTTGCACTTGGTGCGCGTTTTTTGGCGCCACGCCAATTTCAGAACGCGAAAAAGCGGCAGTCACATAGCGAAAGAACTGGGCGCATGCATAACATTTAGAAAGCGCAAAATAGATTATTTAACTTTTTACGTATTACGCATCGAATTCTTGTTTGCGTCACATTCAATCGCTCATTATCTCACTGCCACCCGCTCTCTTGCTCGCTCGCGTTCTGTGTCTTCCTCTTTTTCTCTCTCTCTCTCTTGCACGCACTCTGCCCAACATCGAAAGCACCCCAAAGCAAAGCACCAACAATAAAGCTGCAAAGGAGGCTCGTCCTTTGAGCCTATTTTGTGGGTATATGTGTGTGTTTGTGGCTGTCGGTTTGTGGGCGTGCCAGGGGCCGTGTATTGATTTTTCAGTTACAAAAAAAAAACTTTTGCCAAGTTTTGTGTACTGATTTTTCGACATTACATAACCCGCACATACTCACAGTACGTACGTACGTGTATATACATGTGTGTGTGCGTATATACGATTGTGGTGCACATACGTGGCGATTAATTTTATTATTTTGCTCATGTTCTTTTGCAGTTTTCGGAGATGGGCGGATGGTTGCGCTCTTTGCTTAAAGGTCATTCGGCGGACAATCTTTTTGGCGCAACACAATAACGGCAAATGCAGACAAAAAGTCATTTGGCAACAGAATCAACGCATCTCCTATGCAAAAGCAATCAGCAACAACATCGGCAGCAGCAGCAGTAACAACAACAACAACACGTGACGCGCTTTGGAACTAAAGAGAGACATAGCAACAGCGCGAGCGAAATACAAAATGAGCAGCTACCTGTACGCAGTGTTGTCGCCACGGGCAGTTTCTAGCTATTAAATAGCCAAAATATTCTGATATAGGAAGCTTGTTTACGTAAGACTAAACAGTTTCAGCATTCGAAATATAGTAATAATTAAAAACAAATAATGCTGTCATTGCTAATAAAAGTAATCTCTTTTACAAAAAGATTATATTAATTATCTAAATAAACTAGCTATGTTTCATATCAATAAAAAAAATAATAATAATTAAGCTCATGATATACTAGTTTCTCTTTCTCATAAATCATTATTATAATATGAACCTTCAGTTGTTTCATTACAAATAGCTTTTTCTAGCTATTTTAAGCAAATTGATTTGTAGATTTAGCTTTTGAAAATCTGGCAGCACTGCCTGTGCAGCTGCTGATGAGAGCCGCTCTTTGAGAGAGCGTCGCTGCTGTCGCTGTTATTTTTGTTGCTGTAACATTACAAGACGAAGGCCAGAGACGCCGCGTGGTTTTAAGCCAAATTCGAAAACGAAAGAGACACGTTTATGGAAATTATACAACGACAAAAATAAGGCTTAATACATGAGTGACACAACGGGCTACGGTGCCTCTGGTAAAACGGGCATCATCAGATGAAGAAGTTCATTAAACTCAGACTGCGCTGTTCGCTGAGACTGCGACTGCGTCTGCGTTTGGTGAGAGTTTTATTTATAAAGAAGATTCGCGCTTCGCTATTTTAGCCAAGTGAAAATTCTGCTCGGTTATGTAATCGCTACTGCCGGAAAATTAGCACATAGCAAAAATACTTGGCTATGCTGAACTAAATTTACAACTGCTAATATATTTTACTGTGGCCCGCTAGATTAGAAGCTTTGCGAGGCAACCAAATGCGAGCAACAATCATTTTTTGCGTCGAATAGTTTTTTATATATACATATATATATTTTTTTTATAATCACAAGCACATGGCTGAATTTTTGGCGTGTCGCTTCTTTTGCCAACAACAACTCGTGGACACACACTTATACAGAGCCGAACAAGCGCGTACTTAGAGAACGTGTTGTATATATATGTGTGTGTGGATGTATGCGTGCGGCGTTGCTGGCAAGCCACGCTTGGAGTGTGAGGATCCTTTGGCTGCCGCCACAACAGCGAAGCGTGCGAATTGTTTGGCACTTCACAGTTACAGTTATAACATGGTCAAGGCGTAAGATTGGGTCGTGGGTGGGTTAGGGTTGTGAAAAACTCACCTGTGCGTCGACAAGTTTACGTGCAGAAATGCGAACGATCGACATGATTGATTTTAATTTGGCTGCTTAATTTGAGAAGTTGACTCAAACGCTGTGTTCTTTTTTAAACACTAACACGCACAAACACAGAAAAAAATTGCTTTCCCCCAGTGAAGAATTTGGAAATGTTCTTTTTCTTGTGGCGTTTATACGGCGAGCGAAAAAAAGTTTCCTACTCTCCCTTCCTATACGGCAGCTGCGCGGCAACTGAATGTTAAAATATTATTCGAATTCGAATGGTTGGTTGGCTTTCAATTGCATACAGTCGATTGTAGTCATTGTTGTTGTGTCCAATATCGATAATTTATATTGTTCGTGCAGATCGTCATAAGAGATAAGCTAATTGATGTATTAAGATTATATGTATACTATATTGTAATTCGTACTAACACAATATGTGAGGATCATTACATTTATAAGAATTATTTGTTTATTTCGTTGAACAAGCATGATATTTGTATTATCGATAAATGCAATACCAATGAAATGTTGAGCCACCAACACAAAACACAGCTGATATAATTTGCGTATTTCTTGGCGCCCGCGCAATGTTTAAATTGTTTATTTTTTCATTACCAATTATTCTTCTATGTCAAGATTTATTTGCCTACCTCATTTTGTACAGGAAGAGCATCAAACACTTCCTGTTCAAGTCCAAGTTGAGCGCATTGCGGCGTTGGGGGAAAAATAGACTTCTTAATGAAGCGATGCTGGTGCAGGAATAATGAGCACTTTTGGAATGTAAGCAGTTTACGCAAATATGCCATATTTGTAACAACACTATTTTTATTTTATAATCACACAAATTTGAAATTAAAATGTATAATATTTTTGTGGCTCAAGTTGAAATGAAACTGACAGCTGTCAGAGATGCCAGCACTTTTAATTATTGTTTCAGTATTTAGTGCTCTGACATTTTATAGTGAATTATACGATTCAAACTAGGAAATTGGTAATAATTAATGCACAAATACGTGCTATTTTACTACTTGACAATTTGGAAAATTTGAGAATTCCTTTATATCAATATATACAGTGGTGCATTTGGTAATTTTTTGTTTTGGTATTTTAATAGCAATCAGCTGTGGTCACATTACGCTGCATGTTATGCAAAAGGCGTCGTGAAATTTTGACTGGCAGATTTCCTATTTTATTAACAAATTACTAAAGCGTAAGTCGAAATAGATATGCACTCATAGAGGGAAAATGTTATCAGAACGCATCCATGTACATTGCAGCAGCCAACATGGCGACGGCCGTGCCGCATGTGCCCCCAAAACAGGACCTTCCACCACCCGGTGGATACAAGAAGATTCCCTTTGCTCGCGTGCCACCCAAGAGCTATTTCACAGGTGAGTTCAATCTAAGATTTATGCATACGTAAACACATCTATATTTATACTGTTGCAGGCTTTACCATGATTGGAACCTATGTGGCCGTCACCACAGTGGGTCTGGGCATCTATTATTTGACAGCCAAAAAAGTCAAGCGCGACGAAATCGAAATGCGCTCGGCTCAGAATGTCATTTTCCCAATATTGATTGCGGAGCGCGATCGTGAATTTCTGCGTCAGCTGCGTCGCAATCGTGACGAGGAGGCTGAACTCATGAAGAACGTGCCCGGCTGGGAGGTAAATTGCGACTATTGAATTTTAGCCAAAATGATGGGAACTAAAATTTGATTCTCTTTTGTTTTTGGCAGGTGGGCACCTGGTATGGTGAGCCCGTGTTCAAGACACTGCCAGAGGACACACTAGTCACGCCCATATTCAAGGAGTTCTATGCTCATTCTGATTGGAAATCTTATGCTAAACGCGCCCATCTGAAGCTCTGGTCGTAAACGAATGTGAAAGAGGAGGAGCAGGAGACTGGGAGTAGCAGCTACTGCTGCTGCCGCTCCTACCTCCTGTCGTCAGTTTAAATTAGTTAATGCACATTATATAAAAAAAAAACAACAATTTTGTTTGTAGCTGCGGCGCCTCAGCGCGCACTTCTGAAATCAATAATACACCGAATGCGCTCTGCATTGGTTAATGTACAATAATTCTGACTCAAGTTTTTTCGATCTTTTAGAAATTGAAATGCTGTATATGAATTTAGTCTGCTATTTATTCTGTTTCCGATATTTATACATATATATATATTTTTTTTGAGATATAT